GGGGGAGGGGGGCTTCTCAGAAGAGTTAAATCCAGCCTTCCCTGTCTCTTCCTATGCTGTGGGGATAGGGGCGCAGGGCTCTGAGGGGAGGACCCCAGCAAGGGACTCTGAGCAGGGCCCCCTGGGAGCCTCTGCAGGTTGGAAACGGGGCTGTTTAATCCTGGCTCAGGTCACAAGTGAAACGAGTTGGCTGGTCTCAGCCTGGTGCTCTGTGTGCATGTCCTGCCCCAAATGCATTGCACACACTCTAGACAGACACACCCAGGCTGTGAGCTGCGTCAGCAGAGCTTGCGGGGAGCAGGGGGCTGCCCGGAAGAGCTGGGTGTGGGAAGCCAAGCCCCCTTCCCCGGTCCAGCCCCAGCCCCCAAGGCAGCACTCGGTAGCAGGCACCAGGGTGGCCAGCCAAGCTGAAAAGCATGAGGCAAACAGGAAAAGGCCAGCCCAGCTGGTACGCAGGGGGAAGTGCCCCACCACGCCCGTAGCTCTGCAGTTTGAGCTCACACCATGGAGGGAGACGGCCGGGAGCACCCCAGCACCACGGCTGAGGGCGTCTCTCGGAGCAGAGCTGGGGTACTGTGCTCTAGGCACATGCGAGTCTGGCTCGGTGCTGCCCTCTGCTGCATGGCACCAGTGCTGCGGTGCCAGTGGGGGAGGGTGACCAGCATGTCCTGGGGGCTGTCCCTAGGGCCCCGTGCAGGGTTTACGCAGCGCCCATGGATTGGGTCCAGGTATGACCCCTCCTCATCAGTTATTGGGAGTGGACCACATCCACCCTGACTGAATTGGTGGTTCTCCCGTCTCTTCAGGTGCCAGTATATTTATGCCTGGATCTGTAATTTTCACTCCATGCTTCTGAAGAATTGTTTTTTAACCCACGAAAGCTTCTGCCCAAATAAATCTGTTAGTCTTTAAGGTGCCACCGGACTCCTCCTTGTGTGGGTATAGCTGGACATGCCCCATTCAAGGCACGTGGGGATAAAGGGTGGTCCAGCAGATGGCGCAGCCCGGAGACTTTGATCCCAGCATGCAGTGCTCCACCTCCAAGCAACTGGCCAGGCAGCAAAGAATGCTGGGAGCTGAAGTCTCCCCAAGCAGCTCCAACGAAGCCCCCCATTGCCAAACCAAACGTCCGTGGGACGGAGGGCAGGGGTCCCTGCATGGAGTGACTGGGGGTGCTGGGCACCGCGGGAGGGACCCCCAGCTGGGAGTGGGTCTGGCGGGCTGCACTGGGTCACAGGCAGGGGGAAGGCTCCTGGCCACCTGCATCTGCTCGGCAAGTCCTCCGTGCCCGACAGGCTCCTGGCCCAGCGCACGAGGCTGCCTCAGGACACGGGCACCAGGGCTACTCAAGAGGCCAGTGCCAATGCAAGCAAGGGAGCCTCGCAACACTCCATGGAGCAGCCATGTGCTGGAGAGCTGCCTTGGGCGGACTGCCTCCTACAATGCCCGTCTGCTGATCCCGGCTGCCCCCACCCCACCTGCCACACCACTCCACTCGCAGCAGCCGCCGGCCCAGGGGCTTAGAGACAACAGTGTGCCCCCGGTGCCACCTGCGGCCCTCCGGAGGGGCAGCCAGTGTGGCTGAGGTGCATGAAAGGTGAAGAAAACCCACTGGGCACACAAAGGAAGCAGCTGTTTCCAGAGCAGCTCCCCTCCCGGCCTGCAGAGCAGGGCCCCCCGGCAAGCAGGGGTTTGGAGATCTCAGGTGAAGGGCTGAGGCCCTGGACTCCCCGAGCAGCGGCACTGCAGAGCCACGCAGGGCCGGGCACTTGCGGGCCGCCCCCTCCATGCAGGCAATGACAGCGCCCCAGGGGTCAGAGACACGCCCTAACTGGCCCTCCCATTGTCTCCCCCGAGCCCCATCCTGCTCCCTGGCCGCCCGGCATGGGCCCCCCAAGATCCGATCCTGGAGGGCAGTGCACAAAGGGGAAAGTGCCATCTGTGCTGGATTGGCAGGGCGAGCTCCCCACACACTGCCCTGCCCAGGGGCCTCTCTGCTGGGGCGGCTCCGGCAGCTGGGCCCCTCCCCGTTCGCGCCCTGCTCCCGGCCCCTCCTCCACCCCGCCAGGGCGCCCCGCTGCACTCACCCTCACGAGGTAGGAGACGCCGGGGCCCATGACCTTGTCGTCGGGGTGCAGCCAGCCGCGGGTGGGCTTATTGACGAAGCTGCCGTGGCGGGTCCATTCGTCGCCCCCCAGCTGGCCGCCTTCCACCCGCGTCTTCTTCCCGCAGCTCAGCTTGTTCATATCCTGGGGACAGACAGCGACAGGCCCCGCTGAATCGGGGCCAGGGGCACCCGGCTCCCCGAGGCTCCCCGCCTCCTTCATGCCGACGGCCGAGAAGCCCCGCAGGCTGAGCAGGTTGGCGGGGTAGGAGAGCTTCAGGTTGGCCATTTTGGGGAAGAAGGAGCACAGGGTGGTGGGGCTGTCCTCGGACTCCGACGAGAGCTCCCCGATGGGCAGCATGGGGCTGAGGGAGGAGGACGACAGGGAGCCGGGCAGGGACTGCGTGGCGACGAGGGACTCCACTGGGGACCCTGGGGACCCCACGCCGGCCACTGCCTCCTCCAGGGAGGAGACCGACTCGTTCCGGAGGTGGCTGTATTTACTCTTCTGCAGCAGATCCATGCTGGAGGGGCTCGGGCGGGCCAATCCGGCTCCGGAGCAGGGAGCGAGGTGGCAGCCCCCTGGAGAGGCGAGGAGCCTAGGGCAGCCAGCACCCTGCAGAGCAGGAACTGCAGAAACATGGGGCTAGGCCAGCCCCCCTCCAGCACAGCATGACCGCTGGGAGAGCCGGCCCCAGCGATCCCGGCACCGAGCCCCCAGCCAAAGGGACTCCGGGCGAGCGTCACCGGGAGCAGGCAGGAGGGAGCAGCAGCGTCTGTTCACAGTCAAAGCTCATCTCCCCGCGACACGCAGCCCCGTGTGCACCGGCGCTCCCCGGGTCCGAGGAGCCAGCAGGTTCCCACTCGTTACAGCCAGTCAATAACAAGCAGCGTGGCGAGGACAGGACAGGGAGGGACACGCCGGGGCAGCCAGCTGGAGAGCAACCCCTGGCCCCTGCCCGATTCCAGCTCAGCTGCAGAGAGGAAGCAGGCGAGGCCGCTGGCTGCACCCGAGGGGGCCGTGGGCGAGGCAGCCGGCGCCACAGGCTGAGCGGCTCCTCCACCTGTCAGGAGATCCTCACGCCGTGCTGCCCAGAGACCATTGTCCAGTCCAGCGCCCCGCACCCTGCCACGCCGCCTGCCAGCACTCCCCGGCCTGCTGCGCCAGCCCCTGCCCCCAGCCCAGCTCCCGCCGTCACCAGCTAGCAGGAAATCAAAGGCATGAATATTTAAAGTCCGGAGACAAGGCAGCCACAGAGTGTGTTCCAGCCCAGCCCGGCTGCACTCCGGGCACCAGCCTGGAGCCGACGAGGCCCCCTCTGTGGGATTGGCGGGGGTCCCGTGGGCAAGGAGAGATGCGGCTGGCGCATGTGTCCAGCCAGGGCCTGGGGCCCCAGAGCCCCAGAGAGGAGCAGGGAGCTGGGTGCTCCGGATCCGGCCGGGCAGGGCGCAGGAAGCCGGTGCGTTCAGCCGGCCTCGGCCAGAGGTTCCCCAGCTGCCGGGAGCCGGGGAGGGAGCTGCTGCAGCCGCGGCTAATTGCTGCTGCTTCCTGCGCGGAGCTGGCTCTAAGTGACTGCGGCTCCCGGGAGAGGAGAGGGGGCTGCTGCCAATCGGAAGGGCAGTGCTGACTCACAGCCTCTGCCCACAGCCTGTGGGGGGGCCTCGCTCGCTGGCTCCCTCCCGAAGGGGTGGGGTCGCAGGGAGTATCTAGAGCAGAAAATCAAGGTCACGGGCGGAGCCAGAGCAGGGGGCTCTGCCTGCTGAACACATGGGGGCAGCACAGACCGGGAGTGCCCTGTCTCTGCAGGGACCCGTGGGCCTGTGTGCCGGGCGGGGGCACCACAGCTTCCCGCGCTCAGCCCTTTCCCCCATCCGGCCCAACGCCCCCCTGGGCACCAGCAGGGCCCCGCAGCACAGAGCAATGGGCTCCCCCAGCACCCCACTCCAAACTCCCCTTACCGTGCTGTGCCCCAGACGCTCCGCCCCCCCGCTGTGGGTGGAGAGAGCCTTCTCCTCTGCAGCGCCTGCCACCCGCAGCAGCCGTTTGCAGACCCCGCCGAATGTGCCCTTGCCCTTGCCAAACCTGCCAGTCTCTCTGAGCACCGAGCAAGCACCGAGCTTGTTCCAGCACTGCAGGTGCTGGGGGGCAGCACGCCGAGGCACGGGAGACCCTAAACCCACGTTCTCCCGCTCCTTGCACCCAGGCCCAAGCCCCAGAGAGCGGCAGCCCCCGCTCCCCACTGCACGCTGCTGCAGCCAGCCCTGGACATGGCGGCACTGGGCTGAGGCCAGAGGCCTCCGGGGCAGACTCGGGTCAGAGTTTGTACCAACTGAGACGCGAGAGGGATACAATCAGCAACTTGCAAATTGGCAGCTCCCCACTGGGCCACAGACCCGTGTCTGGAGAACACGGCGCTCTCTAGCCCAGCGTACCCAGGCGAGGTGGGCAGTCCTCACTAGTGTTCAGAGTTAACGCCCAATTTAGGCCACACCACTCAAAGCTATTGTTTCAGGCTCCCTGCAGACTCAGGACAACACCTCTGCCTCGGGTCCATGCGAAACCCGTTGGCTGCTCTGCAGCCAGAAGGGCTGGAAACACAAGGGTTGGACTCCGTAGCAAACTGTGCTGGGCCCCAGACCCTGGCTCCAGCACTGGACCCAACGCCCCTTCCGACCGCCCTGGCTCTGAATGGAGGCTGAGAGGCCGGAGCTGAGCCCCGCAGGGCAGGATGGGTATTCCTGGGCGCTACCGCCCCTCAAAGGAGAAGCATGAGTAAAACACTCCTAGAGCCAGACACATCGCAGGGGAGGTTCCAGCTCCGAGCCACGGAGCAGCATCACCTTGCCATGGCCACCCCTCCCACCCCAGGTGTCAGCGCTTCCCAGCCGCTGTGCGAGCCCTGGCAGGCAGCCACGAGCAGCGAGGGAAATGGAAGTCTGGCCAAGGCTGGAAATAGCCTCCCGAGCGGAGTGCGAAGCATCGCAAAGGGGCTGCTGCTAACTATAGCAGGGAGGTTCAGCTGGCCTCCAGGAGCCACCAGCACCATAGGGGAGAGTCCCCTGTGTGCACCCCCCAGGGAGATCCCTGTGGAGCGTGCCCCCATTCCCACCCCAGGGAGATCCCTGTGCACCCTGCACCCCCACCCCAGGGAGAACCCTGTGCACACACACCTCCCAGCAGGATTCACCAGTGCTCACCACAGCCTCTCGCACCAGGGAATGACCATTGCAGGGGTCCCTGCACAGTCCCCAGATAGAGCAGAGCTCACCCTGGCCTGGGGCCCAGCAGCTCTGCACAGCCACTTGAAAGAAATGCAGGAAGCCTGGGGCCAGGAAGCAGCGACTCACCTACCCGGCCTTTCCGTGAGCCGAGCCCTGCGCGTTCCACCCCACGGCCTAGCCAGGCTGCATGCTCTTGGCAGGCAATGGAGGGGGCTTGCGCCCCCCAGAGGCCAGACAGCTGCGCACTGCCCTCTGCTGGAAGGGGCAAACAGCCAGCCCATGGAAATGGAGTCAAAGGTCACCAAGCATTTTCCAGGAGAGTCCAGGCGTCCCAGGCAAACTTCAACGCCCCCTCCCCCAGCGAGTGCCCGGCCTCTCGGCTCCAGCCCTGCACCAAAGCGCTGTGCCCTACCTGCCTATCGCGCTTTGGGATGGGGGGCTGGAGCCGTGCCCTGCCACTCTGCCAGCGGCACCAAGACCAGCCCCAGCAGCAGCGGGAGGGGGGCAGAGCTCTCCAGTGCCTGAACCCCCCCGCTCTGCACCTTTTCCACTCCCCCTTGAGCCAAGGGTCTGTTCCTGCCCGCCCCACCTCCCTGGAGCAGCTCCCTACAGCGCAGGGGCCAGGATCATAGCCACTGGAGTCGCACACAGGAAGCAGCTGCCCTTGGGAGCAGGGAGTGAGGGGCAAAGGGAGCAGCTCAGGGCTTGGCCTTAACTCCTTCACTCCCAGACCGGGCCCAGCCCCGGAGCACAGGGGTGGGGGAGCAGGCACGGGCAGTGAGGGCTTGGTGTGGGGCTCTACCAACCGATCCCAAACGAGACCTGATCCTCTAACTCACTCCCGATCTGCAGGTTCCCCTGCTAGCCCAGCCAGACTCCCCCCTCAGTCCCGACCAGCAGCCCCTGCTAGCCCAGCCCTGGGCTCCCCCCAGCTCTGCCGGTGCCCCTCAATCCCGACCCGCAGCCCCTGCTAGCCCAGCCCTGGGCTCCCCCGCACAACTCTGCTGGTGCCCCTCAATCCCGACCCGCAGCCCCTGCTAGCCCAGCCCGGGGCGCCCCCGCACAGCGCTGCTGGCCCCCACCCCCCC